GAGAGAGAGAGAGAGAGAGAGAGAGAGGGAGAGGGAGAGAGAGAGAGAGAAAACAGAGATTAGTTGAACAAATAATAGCAGGGAACTCCCTAAGTTTGCAGAAATCACAACTCTACAAATTCAATATCAACCAATCCCACGCATGATAAATACAAAGAGACCTACACCATGGTATTATAATCAAATGTTGATAGAAAAAGACAAAGGATTTTGAAAGCAACAAGAGAAAAGCAATTCATCATATATATGAGTTTGTCAATGAGATCATCAGTCAATTTCTGAAAATAAAGTTTGAAACCAGAAGGCAGTAGGATTTTGTACATAATGTGCTGACAGAAGAACAAAAACAAAAGCTATCAACCAAGAATTCTATATCTGTCAATGTCCTTCAAAAATGAGGATATTAAAACATTCCCAGAGGATGGGATATAGCTCAGTTGGTAGAGTGCTTGCTTCACATGTACAAGGCCCTGAGTTCAATCCCCAGCACCACACACACACACACACACACACACACAAAAAAAAAAGTCCCAGATAAATATAAGCTTGAACAATTAATTACCACAAGGCTTGTCCTCTAAGAAACAGTAAACAGAGTTCTTTAAGTTGAAATTAAAGATTTTATATAGTAACTTGACACTATATGAATATATGAAGGGTTTTGGTAAAGATAAATACATGGAAAATATAAAAAACAGCATAATTTTTGTTTGCCACTCTGCTTTTCAAGTAGTATAGGATTTTAAAGACATGTATAAAAATAATTCTAAATCTGTATTAATGGGCACACAATACCTAATTTGTGACATTGGTGGCAAAAAGTAGGCTGGGAGAGCTGTAAAAAAGAAGAGTTTTTGTATGTGATTGTAGTTAGATTGGTATCAATTTAAAATAGATGGTTAAAAGTTTAAGGTGATAGATGCAATCCTCATGGTAAACATAAAGAAAATATCTACAGAGTACATAGGAAAAGGAAATGAGAAGAGAAGTGCTCTGGAGATTATAGCTGTCCATTGTAAATATACTTAATGCCACTGACTACTACAATTAAAAATGGTTAAAATGTAAATTTTATGTTATGTATATTTTTGTCACAGTAAAAAATTAAAGGCTGAGTTGGGCTCAGAATATGCGAAGGCTATGTGGAGAATTCATACTGCCATGCAAGCTTCTCAGTCACCTGGGCTATATGACTCAGTAGATATGGTGCTGAAATGTCTAAAATAGTTTAGGGATGTTAGATTAAAACTTTGATAAGCCCCTTTCAGTGAATCTGTTCAGGCTTGGAGGATTTGGGAGCAAAGTTATGCTATCTTCGATATACAACTACCCTCCGTTGAGAATTGTTCCATCTTACTCTGGGCTCTAATAGAAACCAAATGCTTGACCACAATCTATCAAATTACCCTGCAACCTGAGATGCCCATAATATACTAGACATATTATGACCCAGAAAATCATAAGTTTGGCCATGCCTAGGAGCACTCTATCATAAAGGGAAGTGATATATATGAATTTAAGCTCTAATTGGTCTTTGAAGGCACAAGTAAACTGTGTGAACAAGTGGCCTAGATACCTACCCTCTCTAGAACTACATTGACTCCTACCTCTCAACTCAGATCTAAGGCAACAATCTTTATGACATGTTGAGAAAAATATCTGTGATTAATTGCAGATAGTTCTGCATTATATGGTGCAGAAAGTGGATAGCACTATGGTCCTTTCCTAGAGTGATCCTGAAGGTAGTAAAGGGAAATAGTATCAGTGGACTGAACTTGGAGCAGTTTTTTCTCATTTTCTGTTTGAACAGAAAGATATATGTATGAATCTATATGGACTGATAAGAAGTACCTGTTCGGATGAATGATCTGGAATTTGGAAAGAATATAATTAGAGGGCTGAGGTTGTGGCTCAGTGGTAGAGTGCTCGCCTACCATGTGTGAGGCCCTGAGTTCAATCCTCAACACCACATAAAAATAATTAACAAAATAAAGGTATTGTATACAACTAAAAAATAAATACTAAAAAAAAAAAGAATATAATTAGAGAATTGGTGACAAGGTCTGGGGATTAACTGAATGGACACCTACTGTGAAGATATGTGTGTCTCATGTGAATATTCACTAAATAAGAACTCATTAGAGGGCAACCATTCAAATCAAGTGGGTGAAATGATCAGCCTTCTCCCCATCTATTCTTATTCTTGCCTAATGGATTCATAAAGAAAGTGGCTTTAGTGGCAGGATGAAGGTTTTTACATGAGCTCAGTAGATGAATTTTCACTCAAAAAAGGTCAATCTGGCTACAGCTATCACTGAGTGCCTAACTTGCCAACAGCAGAGACCAAAAAATAAATCACTATTCCCTGGAGGCATCCATCAGTTATCAGGCACATTACATTTGGCCACTCATACCCAGCCCTAGTTTTCTCATAGACACTTCTGGAAATCAATTTCCTTCCTTGTCTAAAATGCTTCTCTGAAAACCATATGGTTATAAATCACTTTAGTCACCATCATGCTATTGTACACAGTATTTATTTAAACCCAGAAAATAGTTTTTTTTTTACTGTAAATAAAGCAGCAATGGGTTCATGCTCATAATAAGAATCCACTAATCTTATGCTGCCTATTACCCTGGAGTAGCTCATCTGATGTGGTGACAGAATAACTTTTTTTTGGTACTGGGGATTGAACTCAGGAGCACTTGACCTCTGAGCCACATCTCCATATTTTGTATTTTATTTAGACACAGGGTCTCACTGAGTTGTTTAGTGCCTTGCTTTTGCTGAAGCTGGCTTTGAACCCATGATCCTCCTGCCTCAGCCTCCTGAGCCACTGGGATTATAGGTGTCCGCATCTGGCTTCAGATTAACCTTTTTATTATGGTAAAATACACATCACATAAAGTTTACCATTTTAACCACGAAATATACAATTTAGTGTCATTAAGTACATTAACGATGTTGTACAACCACCACCACTATCTGGTTCCAGAACTTCCTCATCATCCCAAATGAAGCCCTATGGCTATTAAGCAGTTACCCCCATTCTCTTCCCTCAGCCAATAATTGGCCTTCTATTTCTATAGTTTGCCTGTTCTGGATATTTCATTATAAATCAAATTATATAATGTGCCTTTCTTTTTTAACCTTATGTGTGTTCAAGGAGCATTGAAATGGGGTTTGTAAGACTCAATAATCATGCCATCTGGGTTGTTGGCAACACCTTGTAAGGCTAGATAATGTTTTCCAGGTTTTGGTATATGTTCTAAATCAGTGACTATTACAGTTTAGATACAAAGCATCTCCCAAAAGTTCATGTGTGAGGCAATGCAAGAATTTTCAGAGGTGAAATGATTAGATTTTGAGAAGTGTAACCTGGCCAGTGGACTCATCCATTGATATGAATCAATCAGGTGGTAACTGTAGGCAGGTAGGGTGTGACTGGAGGAAGTAGGTCAATGTAGGTATATGCCTTTGGGGTTTATATTTCGTCCTTGGGGAGCTGAGCTTGCTTTCTGCTTCCTGTCTGTCATATTTCAAATTGCTTTCCTCTGCTCTGCCCTTCTGCCATGATGTTCTGCCTCACCTTGGGCCCAGAGCTATATAGTCTGTTAACCATGGATTGAACTTCTAAAACCTTGAGCCAGTATAAATTTTTCTTCCTCAGAGTTGTTCTTGTCAGGTCGTTTGGTCACAGTGACCCAAAAGCTAACACCTGGAGTGGGATCATTGTTGTGAATGGCATGTATGGTTCAAAACCTTTGTAGCTGATCTGTGGAAGGAGTTGTGAAATGTTTAGAGATGCATGCTGTAAAAATTTCAGAATGTTGTAAGCAGAGCTTAATGGGTGATTCTGTTGGGAGCTCAGAAAACCACAGTGCCAATAGGATTTGGTTAGTAGACTGGGCTTGAGGTTTCAGAGAAGGAGGGCCTTAAAAATTGATCTAGACTCCTCTCATGCTACTCTCTGGCAAATAAGTTGTTTATATTTTGCCCATGTCTTGAGACTTTCTGTGAGAAAGTAAATTTAAAGGTGATGAACTAATCAATCTGGCAGAGGAAATTTCAGGGCAGCATAGCATTTAGGCAGTGGCATGAATATTGCTAGTGGCCTTTAGCCAAGTTTGCAATAATAAACAAGAACAAAAAGCAGAGTATAAAGATTTGAAAAACTTGCAAGTTAGCCAGAAAAGTGTAAATAAAACTGGGGCCAAGAAAGGTGTGGTTGTTAAAGAGATTACAGCCACTAAACATATGCTAAGTAGTTGCCAAAGAGACACTAGGAAAGATGGCATCTCAGGAACTGGCAAGAACACACCCATCTCAGGCTCAACTGAGTAAAAGTAAAAATTTTTTTGAGATGAGACCATTGGAGTGCACAGCTTGTACAAGGGAACCTAGGAAGTTGTTTTGCTATGCTCAGCCACAGAGGCAGAGGCTGCTACAGTCATGGTCCTAGGAGACTTAGCTACTGTTTGAGATGGTGCTGGTTACCAGTGATAAGTCCTGTTTCCTCACATGTTGAAGTATAACATTAAGAAGTATGCTGAAGCAAGCATATAAGCATATAAAGCAGGGTTTATTTAAAAAGGGGGCCATAACTGGTATTCTGGTATCCCCAGAAGTGAGGATGTTCTGCCTTTTTATATGTCCTAGACTTCCCTTGTTCTCCTGCTCCCTTGCCTTCCTGCTTATGTGACTAGGCCCAGTAAATGCTGGGTGGGATGGCCAAAGGTGGGCAACAGGTGATCACTCCCAGGGAGGGCAGGAAGGGGGCCCAGGGTGAATTAATTAGTAACTTTTACAACTCCCTGTAGGGAGGGACAATTCCTGGGACAGGTTACTTTAGCAACAGGTTGGAGCTGGAGCAGGTTCTTGATAAGGGTTGAG